AAAAGACGGCGTCGCCTCTTCCCGGTGCTGTGGCGGAGCTGCCTCCCGACCGGGCGACCCGAACTGCCGACCCGACCGGGCGACCCGAGCTGCCGACCCGACCGGGCGACCCGAACCACCATGCTCGGCCGCCGCGAGACCCCGAGGAACGCCCCAGGGAGATCCCCGTCGTCCGGACCCGAACCGAGCCGCGACGGCCCCGAGGCCACGGCTAAAAAAAGTTACTTACCGTAACAACTTGTATTGCTAAAACTCTTCGGCAAGAATTTTTATTTTTCAGTGAATAGTTCTTTTCTCATTTAAAGGTTAATTTTATATAATTTTGAGGTATTTTAATCACCAAGATCTTATGCTTGTTTGACAGGAATCTAAATACTCATTCATTTATATGCTTTAGAGAAAAAAAAGCCAATTTTCTTGATAGGAAAAAGTCAAAACTTTTTCTTTTTTTTTTAATTAGGGAAGAGTGGAAATATATGGCCACAGGTTTTGCTAAGGACAATTTTTTCCCTAATTAGCTTCTGAAACAAGGCAAGTTTAATTGAAAGAAAATAACGTTTATCAATAAATCTGCATGAAAAAAAAGAGATCACAAAATAAACTGCCTGCTTTTACTTCTTTTGTGAAATGGAGACCACTTACTACGGTTTGTTGATGACTTCTCCACTAACTAGAATGTTTTGTTTCGCAGCCTTCCGCCCTATTCTGCTGCTGATTTCTTGTTGATGAGTGCTGTTTGGATCCAGCCATCCTATTTCTCTGCTGATATCACTCTGATCCATCTTGAAGTATCTGCTCCATCGGCACACCCTTCCCTGTCCACGCTGTCGCCTTCGCTGACGTCTTCTTGGCAGCGATCGGCAGGAGGGATACTTCTTTGCGGACGGCTCGCGCGTGGATCGAAAGGCCGGCACCGGTTCTTAGACTCTGGACAAAAAGCAAGAACTAGTCAACAAAACCGTCGCCGGGCGCGAGATGGTGGTGAGGTGAAAGAGCATCAATGACTACCGACAGAAGAACTCCGGGTGGACGATGTACGAATACGAGATGTGTTCTTCCGGCTTATTTGACATTTGTTTTGACGGTGGTGCCGTCGGAGGTGGCCTGATGCAAGATCTTCAGAGAACTCGTCTCTCGAAACCGGGAAGAACACATCTCATCTCGTCTATCGTCCACCCTCTTTCGCCGGCCGTCGTTAAAGGAAAGTCAGCTCTTTCGTCCCACCCACGATCTCGCACCCATTCGTAAAAGGAAAGCCGACCGATTTCTTGCTTTTTTACAGAGTGGAAGAACCCATTCGTAACCTTAGGGTTTGAAAAACCTATGAGGCTCGGTTCTTCCGGGGCCGAGATGGGCTGCCGGGATGGACTCGACCCAAGTTCTTGCTTTTTGAACGTGGACTCAACCGTTTTGATAGAACCGGTTCCGGCCTTTCGCTATTCTCGGGCTTACGCTCCACAAAGAATCCCTCTTGCCGATCGCTGCCAAGAAGATTCCACGGCTCGGTGCCGTAGATGTTGGTGAAGGCGAAAGCGCGGCCAGGGAAGGAGGGGATTGTCGGCGACCTAGTTGGTGAGGTAGTCGACCACGAGTTCCTTCCCACGACGGGCCCATGGACGACGGAAAGACGTACTTATAAGCACAAGCCGAATGAGCAGAATCATTTTCACATATGATGCGTGAAGCAAAATTAAAATTTATATATAGCTATTAATCCTTGAACCCCATCGCCCCGTTCGGTCTTGCTCGACTCAGAAACAAAGGTGAGCATTTTTGGTTCGGCCTCTTGTGTCAGCGAAATGCATGAATTTTACGGCTGATTTGGAGCTTTACTTGATGTTGCCTCTTCGCCGCTGCAATCACCGCCATTAGCCGCCGCAATACTGCCTCTTCACCGCATGATCCGCTTCACCGCCATCATGCTGCTGCTTCCCTTCACGCTACATATCATGTGTCGGTGCACCACTACAGGGCAGCATGTGCTGTGCCACCGATCGGTCGACAAACCGGCTCGGACTAGTAAGTCAAACCTTGGTATACATTTGATATATTTCAAGATTTATGACTTTGGGAAGACCTCACCAAAGAATTAACCCCACATCTCATCACTTGTAATGTCACATTTTCAAACACATCAGATGTTTGAAATGCCTTGTATCGGTTTATAAGGATTATATGAGTCTACTATAAATAACTTGAGTTTAAGTATCAACGTTGGTTTATAAGGATTCAGATGATTTTACTACAGTGGATCCATCAAGTTAATAAGACAATTAGCCCATTGAGTTAGTCATGATAAATGGCACTAAAAAATTATCTAAAAAATGTTAATTTCTGTTTTGAAGACCCTAATGGTTCTAAAAGATAAGATATGAGTAGCATAAGTGTTGATTAAAGTAATCAGATTCTTCCATGCAGCAGACTGGATTGATGCAGAATGATCTCTGAGAAAGGTTAATTTGACATCCATGAAACTTCTTATTTATATTCTTTTGACTATCACCTCTAACCACAATGAAATATAATTTTATGGAAGTTTCTCTAAATAAAGATTCTGAAACACTTTCAAACTTGAAATTTTGATTACAGCTTCACAGCAGATACTTCAAGTGTGTTTAAAGACAGCAAATACTTCAAGCTGGAGCAGAGTGATATCAGCAGAGAAATAGGATGGCTGGATCCAAGCAGCACTCATCAACAAGAAATCAGCAACAGAATAGGGCGGCAAGGCTGCGAAACAAAACATTCTTGTTAGTGGAGAAGTCATCAAAAAACCGTAGTAAGTGGTCTCCATTTCACAAAAGAAATAAAAGTAGGCAGTTTATTTTGTGATCTCTTTTTTTCATGCAGATTTATTGATAAACGTTATTTTCTTTCAATTAAACAGACAAACACAGAAACAAAAGCTTTTTGGTTACAGAGTATTATAACAAATCTTTAAGAGCAGAAATGAAGAAGTCATGAACACTTGATCACTAATCATCAAAGGA